ACTCAGTCACGTTTGAGGATGAGACAAGGCCAGGAGAAAAAAAGAATCAGGGTCCAGAAAAGACTTGACAAGTTTCAGGAATGAGCAAAAATTTTAGAGACAAAATGTTAAGTCCTTACTTACGTTAAAAAAAATTCAGCAGAACAAATAAAGGATAAAGGAGGGCTAGCCTTCAGGAGACAGGATGTTATTTAAGACAGAGGTCTTACAAACTATGGGGGAGGGATTAAATCCCACCTACCACCTATTTTTGTACAGCCTGTGTGCTATGAATGGTTTTTATGTTTTTAAATATAGTTTAAAAAAGCATTCATACATAAGCCATACAAAAACATGTGGCGAGCTGTATTTATTTGGCCCCAGGCCATAGTTTGTAGACCTTTGCTCCAAGATAGCAACAGTTCCCTCTCTGAAGGTACAGATGTAACCAGCTTGCATAGAACCTATACTCTTGAGAGCATTGCAATAATGGTAATGATGATAGTATATTTTCTGTAGCAGCAGTTCATTTAAAAAAAGATAAAAGGTTTTGAATGAGTTATCAGTGTTAATTGGACTACATTAAGAGACATATGGTGTCTAGAATGGGGTGGAAAATGTAGCCTAGTTAGATAAAGTGCTAGATTTGGAGTAGGAAGATCTGGATTCAAATTCGGCCTCTGGTACTTAATAGCTGTGTTGTTGTTATTCAGTAGTTTTCTTGACCCCCTGCGTGGGGTTTTCTTTGCAAAGACACTGGAGTGGCTTGCCATTTCCTTCTCCAGCTCATTTTACAGAGGGCAAAACTGAAGCAAACAGGGTTAAGTGACTTGTCCGGGGGTCACACAGCTGGGAGATATCTAAGGTCACATTTAATTCAGGTCTTCCTGACTCCAGACCCAGGATTGTCCAGGAATGCAGGGGCTGGTTCAATATTAGGAAAACTATCAGCATAATTGATCATATCAACAACAAAACCAACAGAAACCACATGATCATCTCCATAGAGGCAGGAAAAGCTTTTGACAAAATACACCACTCATTCCTGTTAAAAACACTAGAGAGCACAGGAATAAATAGAGTCTTCCTCAAAATGGTAAGTAATACATCTACAAAAACTTCAGCAAGCATCATATGTGATGGGACAAGCCAGAAGCACTTCCAGTAAGATCAGGGGTGAAACAAGGATATTCATTATCACCACTGTTGTTCAATATGGTACTGGAAACATTAGCATTAGCAATAAGAGAAGAAAAAGAAATTGAAGATGTCAGACCCAGTGTGTCTAATGTGCTGTATCTATGCCTCAACAGCTGTGTGCCCGCAGGCAAGTCACTCTTTGAGCCTCAGTTTCCCCTTCTGTAAACTGAAGGGCTTGGACCAGATGGCTTCTCAGGGTTCTTTCTACCTCTGTATCTATGATCTCTGTGATCTGTGAGCTAACTGTATGATATATTGTGTAGACTATTTTTTTTCTTGTTCTGCTTAGTTTTACACTATAGTTTAAGGAGTACAGTGGGAAATTGGAGTGAGTCTAGAGGAGATAACTTGAAACTATGCAGTGAGGAAACTGAGATTTGTTAGCCTGGAAAGACTTGTGGACATATGCATGCCATGCACGCCTGGGAATGGCAGAGCTATAGAAGCTACATTCTTGTAATAGAAGCCATCATCACCCTTTTCACGTCAGGTGCAGGAATCTCGCACATGGTCCCAAAGAAGAAATAACTACTTTCCAGAGAAGTTCAATATTTGAAGGGCTCTTGGAGGTTAAGCAAATTGGTTTACTCTTTGTAGATCTAAAGGGCAGAATGAGGACCAGTAGGAGTTCCAAAGAGGCAGATTTTGGTTCAGGACAAAGAAGAGCTCTGTAATAATATTAGCAATTAAAAAATGGAATGAGCTACCCATGGTGGTTTTTTTTTCTTTAAACAAGAAGCTGGATGACTATCAGAGTTGTAAAGAAGACAGTTATTCCTTGTCTTGTAATATCCATTCCCCCACCCAACCTTAGTTTATATGCATCCAGTCCCCTCTCCAGTGCATCCTTTCCCCAGCTGCCAAAATAACCTTCTGGTACTTATATCTGATCTTGTCATTTTGCTTTTTAAAAAAATGGTTCCTCGCTGACTGTGGGATTTTTTTAAAATGCCTTTGTTTAACATTTAAGACCTATCACAATCTGGTTCCCACCTACTTAAGAGCAGCCTTATTTCATACCATTCCCTCTCACAAATTCTCTGTTCCTGCCAAACTGGATTGCTGGCTATTTGCCAAAGTTGGCATTCCAGTGGGCATCTTCATGCACGCATATAAGCTGACCCCACATCCTACCACTCTGCACCTGGAATGCCCTCTTGCTTCAAGTCCACCATTAAGGATATTTGCCTTAATGGGGCAGCTAGGGGCGCAGTGGATACAGCACCAGTCTTGGAGTCAGGAGGACCCGAGTTCAAATCTGACCTCATCCACATAACATTCACTAGCTGTATGACTCTGGGCAAGTCACTTAACCCCAGTTGCCTCAAAGAAAGAGAGAAAGAAAGAAAGAAGAATATTTACCTTCCTTCAAAGGAGAAATGCTGGTTCTTCTTTTCAGAACCTTCACTGATTTCTCCAGTTGTTAGTGCTGTCTCCTTCCTTAATTTTCCTGGGACTATATTTGTTTGTCTATATGCCGAATTCCCATCCACTCCCAAATAGAATTCAGTTCCTTGAGGACTTCAGTTCTGTCCTACCAGTCTTTGTGTCTCTGACACCTAGCTGCTGTGCCTCAGCGTTACTGGTGTTTGAAATAATGCTTCTTGAATTGAATTGCAGTCACTTAAGTAATTAGGGCTATTTAGCTTTGTATCAGAAGTCTACAGACTACTAGTTTAAAATGCTAGAAAGCATATTAAAAAATCCCTTTTTCTACTTTTAATAATTCTCTCCTGTTTGCTGTCAGTTGCTCTGACTGCTGTCAGCATACTCATCTGTTGACTTAGAAGGAACCAACACAGTGGATAGAGTGCTGGGCCTCTGAATTCAAATCTGGCCCCAGACACTTAACCTCTGCCTGCCTCAGTTTCCTCACCTGTACAATGGGAATTTTAATAATAGCACTCTTAATCTCCCAGCATTATTGTAAGGATCAAATGAGAATGTATTTGGAAAGCTCTTAGCATATGCTTGGCCCATGTTGTTCATTTGTTTCAGTCACATCCGACTCTTCATGACCCCATTTGGGGTTTTCTTGGCAAAAATACTGGGAGTGATTTGCCATTTCATTCTCTAGCTCATTTTATAGATGAGGGAACTATGGCAATCAGGGTTAACTGACTTGCCCAGGGTCATACAACTAGGAAGTGTACCTGAGGCTGAATTGGAACTCACATCTTCCTGACTCCAGGAAAGGTGCTCTTTCCACTGCACCTCCTTGTTTGGTCCATAGTAGGTGCTTAATAATGCTTGTTCCCTTCCCTGACCCTTTATGTCAGATTTGTCTGCAAATTTCTGACTCCCTAATAGAGTGAAGCATGCGTGTGTGTGTGTGTGTGTGTGTGTACATACACACAACACGCTTATTGCTGTGTATCTTCTGAAGGGATAGAAGGCACTAAAAATGTAGAAGCAGTAAATGTATTATAGATAATGGATTCATGATTATGGGCTTTAAAATCAAGTATGTGGAGACTATGTTGGTAATAGTCAGAGCGTGGTTCATTTCAAACACCCAACTTTTTTTTTGCTTGTTGGGAAGCTTTTTGAGTAACAGATGGTGTGACTGGTCCTCACCTGTGTTATTTTCTTTGGCAAATAGAACTCTAACTTTGAATAACAGCATCCAAAGTGTGTGTGTGTGTGTGTGTGTGTGTGTGTGTGTGTGTGTGTGTAGGGGGGGGAAGGTAGGGAGTGAGGAACAGGACACCCTATTTTCTTCCTCTTGTAAAGAATAAGTTTAATATTTAAAATTCCAATATGCATATGAGTAGAAATTAAGTTATTAGTGCCAATCTGTGGATAGGACACACAAGAGATAACTAACAGATAATACCATGCTTTGCAAGCCTTAAAAGATGATATAAATGCTAGTTTTTAGGTATTACTTTATGGAAACTTTTATTTGAACAGTTAGAGGTGTAATTTTTGGGTAGGCAGTGTCTAATAGCTGGGTCCCAGCTCTTAAAGAACTCATGGTCTAATGAAAGAGACAGCATGAAAACAGCTATGTATACGCAGACACATGTAGACAGGATAAATTGAAGACGATTAGCAGAGGGAAGATGGTAGCATTAAGAGGGATCCAGAAAGGCTGTGTAGAAGGTGGGTTTTTATCTGGGACTTGAAGGAAGCCAGGGAAGATGGAGATGAGAAGGGAGAACATTCCAGGCATGGGGAGAACAGCCAGTAAAAAATCCCACGTGAAACCATTTTATCTAGGGAAGAGAGAACTATATTGAAAGTAAAAATTTATCACTGAATCTTGTTTGGAAAAAAAATATCTTAGGCAAGGCACAGGCTATTTAAACCTTAGTCTTTCCATGTGAAACATAGGTCTCAGATTTTTTTTCTTTCCCAATTCCCAGAAATTTAGAGGCGTCATGAATTTTCATTTGATACCTTTTATGGTTTGTGGGGTAGGGAAGGGCAGAGAAAGATGGCAATAATGTTATTACCATAAGTTCGTAACAGCTTGCCTCTTTACCCTTGGCAGTACTAAGGAAAAAATTGTATTTAGAATAGGGAGATTTGTTGGAACCTCTTTGGAATGCTTAGGTTTCATTTCAGAAGAAAAAGCAACGGATTCCCAAGTTTCTCAATTTTAGAAAATTCAGTTTTGAAAAGTAAACACCTGTTAAAACTTGCAGGCACTCAGGTCTACCTGTTAGATGGAAAGAAATAATTTTAAAACTATAAAGTTGCTGCTATGCAGTCATCTATGGAATACTGAATGTCAGTGATGAAGTGGGTTTACATTCTGTTCAGGTGCATGATCTTTCTGATGAATTAGGCCTTAATAAACATTTTCTTTCTTTTAGCACTGGCTGGACCATTCAAAACCTATTAAGAAGCAAATGAAAAGTAAGTAACCCCAGATGAAAATTTCTTGTTTCGTTCCTTTTCTTTGGAATTAATTTAAAGCATCTTGTTTTATACATTTGAGTTGTGATATTTTTATTAAATCTGAAACCACTTGAAGGCAGATTAATTTTAAATTAAAAATACAAAGATTTTCAAGTTGGCCAAAAGTTGTTAGAGCCCAAGTATGGAAAATTTTAAATAGTCTTTAAAAGATCAGAATGTTCTCATTTATAAAGAAGCTTAGCTGTAGTTGTAGGTTTCCAACCATACACTCCTGGTAGGGAAAAACAATGATTCATGCAATATTCAGAAAATTTGTTTTGATGAGTATACAGTGAAATGTCATCTAGTCACCTGCATTTAGTACTTGCCCACATGTCTTACTTATTTTCTGAAGGTCCCTTAGAGCATATTGGATATAAAACAGAATCATAGACACATATAACTATATAGGATTTGATCCATCTCAATTTATCAATGAGGTAATATGAACATTACTTCAATAATTTTTCCAAAGATTGATTCTCTGGAAAGTATTTGTAAATATGATTCAATTGCATTCATAAGTTTCAAAACATTGTTTTCCTTACCCTCTATCTTCTTGTTCCCAGTATATTCATAGTACGCTGTTGAAAAGTTGTCCTCAGGATTGCATAGATTAAAGAAGCAGTACCTGTAGGCAGTGAGGTGGTACAGTAGACTGAGGGCTGGATGTGGAGTCAGAAGACGGGAGTTCAAATTCAGCATCAGATACGTACTAACTGTGTGACCCTGGGTTTTGCCTCAGTTTCCTCATCTGTAAAATGGGGATAATAATTGCTGGTGCCTCCCAGAGTTATTGTAAGAATAAAATGAACAAATATTTGTAAAGTGCTTAGCAATCCTTAAAGCACCATTGTATAAATATTAGCTATTGTAAACTGTTGCCTAAGCTATTATTATGAAGAACACAGTCTTTGGAGTTGAAGGAGCTGGGTTCGAATTCTGGGTCTTTTATCACCATTGTGATATTTAACAAGGGGGGAGGAAATAAGGGACTATTAGCAAATCACTCAACCTCTTTTTGTATCAGCTTTCTCTTTTGCAAAATGAAGGGGTTGGGTTAAATGAACTTCATGTGACCGATGGCTCTAGGTTCTGTGATCCCTTTTCTGTACCTGCCTCAGTTATCTCTTTAACAACATTTTTTAATTGGTGACTCAAGTTTTCAAATCACATTCATTTCTAAATGAATCTAAGAAAGATTTTGGCCAAATTGACTGAGAGTATATATAATATTTTATACACATATTCTCTCTCCCCCCCCCCCCCCCAGTGAGGGAAGACAAATGCATTTGCCCAGTTCTTCTTCGAGGCCAAGTTTGGTCATTGCAATTATACGATATTCAGGTTAATTTTTTTTGGTCTTTTTGTTTACATTGTTGTACCCATTGTGCATATTGTTTTCCTGTTTGTGCTTACTTGACTCTGCATCACTCCACATGCCTTCCTTTGAGTTTCTCTAAATTCTTCATATATATTGTTTCTCATAGCACAGTAATAATCCACTGTATTCATATGCTACAGTTTGCTTAATCATTTCCCATTTGAATTCTTTGCTTCTAGAAAATGTGATGAAATATATAAACACACATGTGTGTGTTTCTATATCTGTATCTTTATATGTTATATATACATACACATACATATATATATATATTCTTTGACCTTCTCAGAGAATATGCCTGTCAGTCTAATTTCTGGGTCAAAGTCTATAGAAATTTTAGTCACTTATATTGCTTTCCAGATTTATTGGACTAATTTAAAGCTTTACCAACAGTGTATTAATGTCTGCTTTTTAATCTCACAAATATTTTATGAAAAATTAGTATTGGTTGGGAATATTTTAGGATCAAAGATGAAAGTGAGAATTCATCCAATCCTAGAAGACTTTTCTGTAAAACTAGACCAGCTAGCTATGCTGTCTTTAACCCAAAGCAATGTCCTTTTCCATTATGTCTATCACACTTGGGGGAAAAATGAGTGTTATTGCTTAGGGTTTTTTTTTGTACTATTGTACCTTTTAATATAATAGCTGATATGTTATGGATTTAATTTATTTGTTTTTTTTTCCTTTTGTCACTGTGTGATCTTCAAACTTTGGGAAAACCATCTCCAAATCTGTAGTTGGATCTGCTTACATTTTGCACTTTCGAATTAAATACTATTCTTCAGAACCGAACAACCTTCGAGAAGAGTTTACAAGGTAGGGGACATGATCCTAACATATTTCTGAACAAATTTTTATTACATTTACAATATATGATGTTGTTGCCTTTTCCCCCATTGGTTCTTCAGTGTCCTCTTTTTTTTCCCTTTGGTTGGATCATTTATTTTACATTTCTGTTGAATCCCAGGATTTCTCTATCTCAGTCTTCTGTGTAACTTTAACTCTGCATCTCTGCTCATCTCTGTTCTGTTGGATGTCTGCACTTTGAATTAAATACCTTGGTCTTTGCTGCCTCGTCTTTCAGGTGACCAGGATGACTGAGATCTATTTCCTTGTCTCCTTTTCACTTTTCTGAGACTTTATGTAAATAAGTTCATTGTGCTATTATTTTGGATCTTATTTCACAGAACTCAGAATCAGGTGTACTTTCCCCAGCCACAAATTTCTCCATTTATTTCAAGTAAAAGGACTCTTTAGCAGATGCTACCTTAATTTTTTACTATGAGAGAGAGCATCCTTTTCCTGCCTTTCAAAAAAGAAAAAAAAATTAATCTTCCGTCCCAAAGTGGCAGTATAATTTGTGACAGTTGTTTGCGGAGAGCTCCCGGCATCGTTGCCTTTTACTCCTCCACTAGATTATTTTTCAGGCCCAATCCTACTAGATTCCTACATATTTCCTATACACGGTCCTCTTACAAAATGGAGATAGCATGAAGACAGAAGGCAGTCACAAGAACAATTATGTTTCACATATTGTGATTTTCCCCCTTTTAGTACTGGCACCACTGCCTTTTTTGGGGCACATAATGGTTTTTTTTTTTAAATTTCCTCTTGTGTTTTTTCTGGCAGAAGGCTGCAGTAGTGGTAACAATATAAATCAGTTAACTAGTGGGGTAGGAAGTGAAAGTTACTGAACAGGCCACAGTGGCATGGGCCATCTTGGAGGTGGAAGAGGTAGGTCAACAGGATGGATCAGGCAGTTTTTATCCACCTCTTGAGGACCCCCCCCCATACACTATAATCTTGAAAGCTTTATTTTTTACATTTGGAAATCAATATGACAATTACCCGTAGCTTCTCACTGATAGTTGACCTTAGAGTCTCTCTGAATATGAAAAGCAAAGTTCATTGTTGGTTGAACTCTTGTTTGAAGGAGTAAAAAATATATATATGTTTGCATTTTGACTTTATTTTGGTATATGGTGTAAGATTTTGGTCTTTGTCTAGTTTCTGTCATACTCTTTTCCAGTTTTCCCAGCACTTTTTGATACATAGTAAGTTCTTATCCCAGAAGCTGGGCTCTTTAGGTTTATCAAACAGTAGATCACTATAGTCATTGACTACTGTGTCTTGCATCAAAACATATTTTCAGTCATATTCCACAAAACACATATTCCCCTTTACTTCACTTTTGAATATACTCCTCTTTATCCATCTCTCTTTTATCCAGAATACAGAAAAAAGTTTGCCTGCATCTGTTCCTTATTTTGAAGTTTTTAAAAACAAAAGAAATTATCCCAGTGTCTCACCCAGTTACTCAGGAACCCTTTCATTCAAACCTGTTGCATAAAAACATCATTGAAGCCATGAAACATTTAGTTTTAGTGAAACATGTTTGTATTAATTTGTCTGCTACCTCTCTATAACACTATATGCCCCCATCTTTTATTTCATATATGTCACCATTACTAATTAAAACCAGGGCTTTCCCCCATTTCTTTTGGTGTGTGCTTAAAAAACATTAATTGCTAGTTACAAAGTCAACTTCAGACTTTCCTAGGGGTCTGGCAAGTGAAGATTGCAAGTGGTTCAGGATGCTTCAGGACAGATGCTCTGTCTTGCTGCTTTATTGGAAGAACTGCATATACATTTGCTGTGTTTTTTGTCCTGTGTGTTTGGTTCTCTTCTCGAACTTTCAGGACATTTTGAGTATACTTGTTGGACTGAACACTGTTTCATACCACAGCTTACAAATATTTTGTGATTTCTGTAAAATGCACATTTCTTTAGTAGATTCTGGGACAATGCTTCAGGAGACAAGTCCTATAGAGGAAAGTCTTCCACTAATGTTGAAGTTTTATTTTAATATCTCTTTATAGTTCAGAATTGTTCAGTAAAGATTTAATGTGTGGGGTGGTTTACAATGGGAAATTTGGGAATGGTAGAGACTTGGAAAGACGACACTATTTGTTGACTTTTGTGTATATTTGTCAGGTACCTGTTTGTATTACAACTCAGGCATGACATTCTTTCAGGAAAGTAAGTATGTTTTTATTACAAACTCTGAACCCTGAATAGGTAATAATGTGCATTGTTTTAGTTCTGTTAATCATGTTCCTTTAAAAAAAAAAGCACCAGCTTTTATTAAGTGATCTATTATTTGTGCCATCTCATCATTTCTTTTTTTAAAAATACTGTGTAGCTTGAATCATTTCCAAAAATATTTTCTTTTTTAAAGTGATGAATGTTCAGATATCTTACTCTTTTTAATTATACCACTGGCCCATTCATGATGGCTTTTGTTTTATTTTCCATAAAACATGTTATTAGTATGTATACAGGTACAGGATTTATGCAAATATCCCATTCATCACAATCTGTATTTAAGTAATGTAAAGGGGTGCCTCCTGAGTGAGATGGAAAGAGGATTTTCATGTTGTCATTTTCTTTTCCTCTCTTAAAAATAGATTTCTAGCATTATTTCTTTCAGTCTCTGAGTTTCAATAATAACTTATTACAAATATTTTGGTAATGAAGTGTTCAATTTCACATGAAATACTCTTTTGTCTGAAATATGAATCCAGATAATCATAGCTTTTATAATTATCCCATGGTTTCAGCATCTGCGGTTAATTCTTTCCATCACATGAATGCTAAGAATGTATGTGAATAATTTTGACTAATATTCAAAAACCCAAATACCTGCTAGTGTAGAGAGCAAATACAATTTCACCCCTGATTTTAATATCTGCCATGACCTTTGAAACTTGGGAAAGCTAAATGCAATACATAATATAAAATAAGTGGACTGTATAATGCATGTATTTGTCTGTTTCAGCCATGTTGCCCAAGTCTTTGATCCTTGATATTATGTTACATATATATTTTGTGTGTATACGTGTGCATTGCCATTAACAATGCCTCTTTTAAAGCATTAGAAATGGATTGTTTTTGGCTTTTTCGCTATAGTCGATTCTGTAGGAAGGGAAAGTTTGCCTTCTGCATGTTCAAAACATTCTTAGACTAGAAAAAATATCGATTTATCATTTCCCTTTAGGACAGTCAAAAATATGGTCAATTCTAACTATATTAGGCCAGTGGTTATATTGTAGTGCCCTGAGGCCGATGGACTAAGGGCCGGAAAATTGAGCTTTTTTTTTTTTAATAGTATCTAAGCCAATTAATCACCTTCTATTTCTGAAAGAGGATGGACATTTGTGCTAAACAAGATAAGAAACTGTAAGATGTACATATGAAAAGATCAAACATTTACTTTTAATAAATGAGTATTAAAAAATGGTGATCATTGTGTACATTTAACTCTTTGTTCACATCTTAATGAAGTTAAGAAAAGGTACCCAAAATGCCAAGCAATCTAATTATAAAATTGGCTTTATTTGATTTGAGATGTTCATCCCACCTCTTTCCACGTTGGACTCCATTTTCTTGGTTTGGCTTTTTCAGTTACACCCCAGCATTTAACTAGGTTCCAGAAAGGAAGAGGCCTCAGGGTGACCTGAGTTATCTGTTTGCAAATGATCCTGTTAACTATAGTTTCTTCTTTGAGACATAAGCAAAATGTATATTACTAAAAGGGAAGAGCAGAGAATCTGATAAAGATAGTAAAAAAAAATTTGAAGTATTCACAACTGTTTTCCACTTTAAAGTAAACTTAGATTTCTTCCCATGACTAAACATTACTATCATATCTGAAATAATACTTAGAGTGAACACAGTTAATTAAAGAGTAATGATTATCTTCACTCTACTTTTAGAACAACTGAGTCAGTGTATGGCAAATTTTCGTTTAATAAGAATTAACATTGTATTAGAGAAGCCACATTTTAAGTGGGAGAGAGATGTTCTCAGAGTCAGAAAGACCTAGGTTTCAGTGCGGCCTGTGGTTCATATTGGCTGTATGACCCTAAGCAGGTCATAACCTCTCAGTTATGGGAACTCTTAAAGTTAAAGATTGCAGAACAGTTGCCAGTCTTTATGTAAAGGGAGTTTCCTTACTGGGAGTTCCCTATAACAAATAAATCACTGGGGGGAAAAAACCCAGCATTGCATTCCACAATCTTCCATCCTCTTGACTAATTTTATCTAATTCTGTTTACCAAGTGGATAGATATTGCATATAGATTATAATATTTCATCAGGTCCCAAGCACTGCTTTTCATATTCTGAAATAAACACTCTGAAATAGTTCGATGTGTTTGGTTGTTTGTTTTAAAATATGACTACAGTATATAATAAAAACAGATTAAAAATAGTGGTCTAGGTTTTCTTAGACGCTTAAAAAAATCTGTTTCAGTGTAATTGTATTCTTTATACGTACATTTAAGAAAGATGCGTATTCTGAGCTAATTTCTTTTCTTTGAAGATTGAAATGCCCATATGAGACTGCTGTGGAGCTAGCTGCCCTGTGTCTTCAAGGTAGGAAACCATTTGGAAGTTATTTGCATTCTGAAATTGTGTGTAATAATACTGCGGTGATGAATCTGCTGGTGTTAGTGTTATCAATATATGTTTGTACCATAGCTTATGGTGATAAATGTTGGCACATGCAGTCATTGAAATCCTCTAACTTCAAATGAAATTGTCCTGATATTCACTAATAAAGCCACAGATACACTAATGGGTTAAGGGATGTGCCTATAGTAGCCATTCATTTTCTAGCTTTTTTGTCCAGTTAACGAGAAGCAGTGGCAAAGTGCATAGAGTGTGAGGCTTGGAGCCAGAGTTACAGTCTTGATTTTGACACTTACTAGTTACACGACCTTGAGTAAGTCATTTAACCTTCACCTTCCTCAAGCAACATCCTAGGACTTCTCTATCATGTCATGGAGGAGGATGTGATTTTTCTTCAGTGATGGAGGAATTTCCCTCCTGAGGAGTTCCCCATGCTAATGACATCACAGATCCTTCATATATTTGCATATTAATCATCTGCTCTTTTATTATTGTGAAAAGCTGTTTCTAAATTTAAAACTGAATCCTTTTTTTAATTATGAGGAAAATATTTTGCTGTGTTTTAACTGTATTGGATTAATTCCTTTTTAGTGTATAATTTTCTCATATCTGAGAGTCAAATATTTTATTTTGCTGTAATTAAAGGGCTATGTAAATTGTGTTATAGACATTGAAGTATAGTTATGTTCAGTTGAGAAAAATAGGACTAACAGTTGGGGCACATTTATGGTTACCTTCATTATGAAGGTAAAAATAGAATTTGTCTCCCTGATAATTATGAAAAAAAGGAATGTATTTCATCTGTCTGTGATATTCAAAAAGAGTATTCTTTGTACCAAAGTGTAATGTTTTATAGTGGAAAGTTAGTAATGCTAGACCATTTCGCACCCTTTGACATATGAGAGCAAGTAGAAATAGATGTTGTTGCTCTTATTTCTGTAAATTCTGTAATTTCAAAGTACAGGATTTCAATTTGATGAGCATTTGTGTTACTGCTACAGGGTATGTTAATGTGGATGCACTGAGGATGATGGTATAAATTTTCCTTAAAACAATATTATTCAAAGTGTGAAAAAAATCAAAATTTCTATTTTAAAATAAAGGTAGACCAATTAATTCATTTGGGGGTAAGGGCTAGATAGAAGACTCATAGAGAAAAATGAGACATTGAATGATTAGGTTACTTCTGTGATAAGACATTGCAAAGTAAAGAATTTGATGTAGGACTCCTAGGGGAAGAGAGCAGATATAGAAGTTATTTAAGGATAGGAAGAAAGCACTGAGTAGACTTGCTACTATTTTACATTTTAAAAAATGGAAAAGTTGACATTTCTTAAGGATGAAATAAATTATTTCCCAACACAAATAGCTAGTATTAACAATGAACTGGCTTCCTTCTCCCTTATTTTCCTAATCTCTCCTTTCTTTACTAATTGTTATCCTTTGCAAACAAAGTCAGACAAGAAATGTCATTTAAATGCAGATAGTCAAGTAGTATTTATTTTGCAGAATTGGCCTCAGCTTAGGTTAGTATTCATATAGTTGAGGCTTTCCTCAGAGGTTTGATTTTTGTTTTTTAAATCAATCTAATTATATAAAAGTCTAGATTACTACTGAATTACCTCTGGCTTCACAGACATCATGAAGAAAAGATCCTAGGCCACCCCAGTTTGGTTTGGGAGACTGGTGGGATGGCCTTTGGGATTTTGGAAGCAAATTGGATGATTAAAAAGCAATCTGACCCAATGCAAAGGGTCCTTGGAAGTCTATAGAACTTCCTTCCATGTGCCAGGGAGGAAAAAAGAAACTATGCTAACCAAAAATACTTTCCCAAGAGACTCTTTAGCCTCCAGAAAATCAGAAGACATTTCATAAAGATTTTTCAGGCCTAGTTTAGACTTCTTGAAAGGTGTTGCCCACTCAAGAGCATTACTTAGAATAAGACTAGCCTCTTGAAATAAGAGAGTTAAAGTTGCTCTGTTACATTCACTCTTTTTCAATCTATGTCAAACCTAGAACCATGAAATTCTTTCCCATTCCATTCACAGCATTCCCAGTCTAATGAGGTGAGCAAATAGCAATGACTTAGCCTTGCTTATGAAGCAAAGACTGGTTTTTCGTCCTGTTATCTTGACATTTTGGAAGTGGCCTAAGATCACAGTAAGGGCCAGTTCTATAAAAGAATGCCACTGTAGAAGACCTCCTTGTATCTACTTCAGATACAAGCCTGTTACCAAGGGCTTGTATAGATATACCCATTGTACCGCTGTCCAGATTTGAAGAGATAAAACACATGGAACAGTTGGAATTATACAGGATGATATTTAATCTCATTCTAGATTAAGTAACACAGACTTCAAACATTATAGGAATTTAAAACCTCATAGAATCAGTGTTGGGTACCACCCAGGATATATGCTAATGATTCAGAGAACCCCGGAGGAGGAAAGAGGGTCATCCCTTCCTAGTATAAATGAAGGTCAAAGGTGGGAGGAGGAAGAATCAAAAGTAGAAAGCAGGCCAGGATGCTCTTAGGTTGTAGGATGCCAAATTCCTAAGGTCTAAAGACAGTTCTGAAGTCCAAGGCAAGATATTCAGCACCAAGGGGTCCTTGTTCAGTCAGGAAACCAATATAAGGAGTACCAGGCAATGTGACCATTTCTATGATTCAGTCTGACCCCCAAAGCTTTGGTCTTTTTACATTGGCTACTTGCTTTTTCAGCTTTTATGAATGTTCTGTTATAGTCATTTACAGGATCCACAAAGCTGCCTTCTAACTTAATCACACTTCAGGCCTGGAGCTCGTATACCAAGAGTTGTAAGAGATATCAAAGTATGAAAGCATGAAATAATTAATAAATTCCTACCACATTCCAGGCTGGGATACAAATACTGAGGCAGCTAGGTGGTGCAGTGCATAGAGCATATGAACTAGAGTCAGGAAGACCTGAGTTCAAATGTGGCCTCATACACTTACTAGCTGTGTTACCTTGGGCAAGTCACTTAACCTTTGCCTCAGTTTTCTCATCTATAAAATAGGGGTAATAATAACGTCTATTTCCTAGGATTGTTGTGAGGATCAAAGGGGATAATGATTTAAAGCACTTAGCAAGGTGCCTGGCACAATAGCAAGCACTGTATAAAATGTTAGCTATTATTACAAAAAATAAAACAATCTTCTCTGTTAAGGAGAGAATCCAAGTCATTTGTGGGTATAGAGGGTTACAGCTGGGAAGATAAAAGTTTCCATTATGTCCAGATAGTAATCTTGGATTACTGGGGGGTAATAGTCATCTAGTTTTCCCTTTACCCCAGAATCAGTCATTCAGCAACTATTTGTTAAAATACCTGGAACAAGTCAGGCACCATGCTAGGTTCTGGGAAGCAATATTCTTTGGGACCAGCAAGCAACCCAGCCTTATCAAGGGGAAAATGGGGAGATGATCATGGGATACAGGTGGCAGGAAGGGTTATGGGTCCAATGCAGGTGCTGCGATCTAAGGTAAAGGTAGGTTTTAGCTTCATCTGTCCAAGGCGCAGAGTGTTTAGCAAACTCCAGTGGTTATTTGAATAATCAGAGAAGACTTTGTGAACCAAGTGGGACTTGAAGAAGGCTTTGAAAAACTTGTAGGATTTAAATAGAGGGAGGGAAGGTGGGGTTGGGGTGGAGCTTTTCTGGATCTAAGAACTTGCCCCAGAAAGCTCATCCCTACTGTCCCTAGGTACTAAGTAGCTAATGGTAGCAGTGGGGCTCTCTGCTCCTCCCTGGTGGCAAGCATATGATCTGTAAGCCCTTGCCCACTTACATAAAGCAGGAAGCATAAGTCAGAGCCGAGAACAAGCAGTCCCTATCCTCCATCCCAAAACAAGCTTGGTTTTGTTTTACTAATGTTGGTGTTCTCTCCTTCATTCCTGCTCCTCTTGACCTGATCTTTGATTTTAGACTCTGCCAATCCACTTAGATCCTCTGGCATAGAAATGGGACTTGAAATGAGGAGACCTGGGAATGGATCCTGCTTCAGGTCATTAATAGCTCAGATACTTGCTAGTTGTGTGATTGTAAAGAAGTCTCTTCATCTCTCAGTTTCTCAGTTTCCTATTCTGCAAAACTGGAATAATAAGACATAATGATAACTAGCATTTATACAGTGCTTTAAGGTTTTGTAAAGCATACTACATATATTACTTTATTGGTCCCCATAACAACCCTGTGAGGTAGGGGCTGTTATTACCCTCTTTTTAGAGATAAAGAAACTGAAATCGGTAGTTAAGAGGTTGAGACCACATTTGAACTCAGGGCTTCCTAACTCGAAGTCCACTATTCTAGCTGCCTTTACCTATCTCACAGGGTTGTTGTAAGAAAAGTGCTGTACATACTTTCAAGTACTATATTAGAAAGATAATATGATATACTGGCTGGAGAACTGGGCTCAGTCAGGACCACCTCGATTTAATTCCTGCTTCTGATAGACTGGCTGTGTTACTTTGGACAAGTCATTTAAACACTCAATGCCCCAAGCAACTCTCTAAGACTATAAGGTGCAAAATTTTGATGATCTTCCCTCTGTTCATTATTTCCTATTTGTCCTGATGGTCAGCAGATATTTATTGTGTTCAAACTGTGTACGTGGCTGTATGGAAAAAACAGTGTGTTAGGAGTTTTGATGTGTCAGTGTTGTAAAGAAATTTTGGTTGGAGAAAGAGAAGGGGGACAAAGGACACTGACAAGGTGGCTCTTACAGTAGCCCGACCACGAAGGGTGGGGGAGCCTAGACTAGGATGGTGGCAATGAGAGTAGAAAAAGGATGAATCAAAGGAAGCTTTTGAATGAAACATCTGTGGGCTTTAAGGCTGATTGGATGTTGAGGAGGACCAAAGAGAATCTCTGTTTGACTTCTAAGCACTTAATCATTTCTAATTTGTATTATGAGTAGTTGTATATCGTAAAGTCCTTGAGGGCAAGA